TGTGTGTGTGTGTGTGTGTGTGTGTGTGTGTGTGTGTGTGTGTGTGTCACACATCCGGTCCAAATTTCAGGTGATCTGGAGTAACAAACCCCGACCAGCTAGCCGTCCATCCTCATTCAGCCATAACACGACGTGATTGAACTTCCTTCTATTCAGGGGAAGTCACCCTAATCCCTGCGCAGTTAATCCAAATCTGCATCTGTCCCGCGTGTCCCCCTCCGGGCTGCCGTCCAAAACAGACGCAGATCGTTCCTCACAGCAGGACAAACAGAGCTGGGGTAGACAGACGCTTACTGGGACTAGCCGTCGGGCATTTTGGGGGGCGTCGACCTGTATTCTGTTGCTGTTTGAATGAGAACGAGAGAGAAGGCGGGAGAGAAAAGATGGAACAAGGAAGGAGAGAAAGAGAAGGCATTTCCTAACATGGAGCCGGAGAGTATGAATCTCCTTTATGACCAAGGAGAAAGAAAAAGAAAGGTTGTGAGTGGAATGGTTGAGACTGTTGCTGCTGCTGAGAGACCAAAATGCATGCGGTCTGTTGAAGCCTTGCTGTCATCGAAAAGAACATCCCTTCCAGGAATGTTACAGAATGTGCCAAAAAGATAAACCACTGTATCACTATAAACTCACTTTAGAGCACCACAGTCATCCTAAATTATTGAATCAAGTCTCTATACAAACACTACATACAGTAGGAGAGGCTACATTCAAATCACAGGAACACTAGGAGTATTAGTCCCATTAGAAATGCTATGAACCTGCCATAAAGTTACATGTACTACTGAACATGTTATGACACCCAACATGAATACTACTGCATGGAGTTTTTAGGCAAACGTAAGTCATTTTATATAAATGTGATAGGAATTTGGGGTGTTAATTAGAAAATACATATTGAGCCAGCAGGTGTGTGAAAACAAGTTAGCTAAAAATAGTAAATATATCGTTCACATAGTTAGTTAAAAGTGATGGATAAATGGTTGACACTTAGCTTAAAGTTAACGATAAACTGTTGAAAGACATGGCTAAAATGCTAAATGGTGAAAATACGATAGCTGAAACAAATGAAAAGGTAAATTGGTGGAAGTATATTATGTATTTAACATATCTAATTGTAAGTGTTCGTTAGTTGGGTACATGTAATGGATAAGTTGTTGAAATTGCTAAATTAACAGAAAACAATGGCATTGTTTTGAAGACACTATTTCTATGTAGAACCATTATGAGACCGTAATTTCACTCAGCACAACAGAGCCATTCGGGAACATTACAGAAACATTGTACATTATACATTTTGCACAAATAGTCAACAATTAGTGATGCCATAGCAAAAACAAAAAAACATTTAAACCCCCCTGCTGAGCAACCGCGGACATGCAACAAGCCTCCAGGAATACCACAGAAGAAGAAACGCGTGTAACAGTCTAAGTGAGTAAGGTCAGTGCTAAGGCTCGTTTTGAGTCACTTTGGTGATATCACTGGAATACTGTAACGTTGCTAAAGTGCATTAAGGTCACTGTCAACTCACTACGGAGCTCCACATGTACACTGAACACTGCTGGGAATATTACTGGCGTATCGCAGAGGTATCCGAGGTGAAGTTAGTCAACTCACGTGCCGAGGACTTCTTTCAAATCAAAGATCTTCTTGATGTCGTCGACTTGTTTTTTCCACGTCTCTCCTCTGCCGGTGTCTCCGTTCTCCCGAGCCATGGCGCTGCTTTTACCGGCCCGAGTCCGACCGACACTGGGCTGCGGGAGGAGGGATGCGATCAAAAAAAAAAAAGAAAGAAAATAAAAACGTAGGAGTATGTGAAATAAAGGAGAATGAAGCCGAGCTGCGTGTAAGAGGTTTGGAGAGTCCCAGTGGTCTGTGCTCCTCTGCTGCAGCAGGACCATGTGAGTTCTCCTGCAGGTTACTGTGTCCCTGCTGCCTCCCTCCTCCTCTTCTCGCTCTCCCTCCTCCCTCTCCTCATCGCCGGCCGCCTGGACAGCGGCTGTCAAGTTCACGAGGACATAACAACGCTTCTCGTCAGAGCTTTCGAAATAAAATCCTGTTGATTTACATAACGTAGGAGCACAGACATTAGGTTACTTATATTGGTTGATAGGATGTTCAGACAAATAATAATCATATTGGTACTGTTTTTACTTGTGTTAATAATTATTATCACCATAATTACTATTACCAGTACGAGGACTAATAATATAAAACGGGTACTATTATCATCATACTTTATATATATTTTGAACTTAATAAAAAAAAAAAGATTAGCAAAATCAGGGAAGCCAGCAACCTGAATGTAGCTTCAACTATTAGGTGACATGCAGTGAATATGAATTAATCTTGTACAATGCAAATATTTAAAAAAAACATGACCAAACAATATATCACATTATAAGCGTAGTAAAACCAGAACCTATATCGGTTTGAGGATGGAGCTTTTATCATTTCATCCAACAATTTAACGGTAAGGCTAACTGTTATCAATTTCACCAAAATCTAAAACGATTTAGTTCTGCTGTGCTTTTATTTTGAAGTCAACATTTCCCAATTTCCTGTATTACGCTGGTTACGTATGTCTAGCTTGGTGGCGGACCTGCTGCAATTGTCTAAACGTCGTTAATTGCTGCACCGTCGGCACTTTTTCGGGGCCTCCACCTTTCCCCTAACATATTTATGCATTAAAAATCCTCGTCTTCCCATGTTTATTTCCTAACTGTGAAATTGCTTACTGTAGGCTATAATTACCCCCTAAATTCGAGCTTTATTGTGGCAGTGCAGGTTGTTGATGTTCAACAGAAAGATGGGATGCCGCTCACGCATCCTGTCCGACAGAGGGAGAGAGGCGTGTGTATGCGGGTCTGGTCGGGGCACGGTGGCGGTAAATTCGCAATGCACCAACTTGCTGACAACCATCACGCAGACCATCACCGTTTTGGGGTCCCCTCGGGGCATCCGCGGTGACAACCGGCTGCAGCTGCGCGTTCACCTGGGTTTAACCGGCCCGCATAACACCTGGATTACCGAAGTGTCCGTTTGCAGAGGCGCACTGATCCCCCAGACTCTGACAGCTGCAGGCGCTGAGATCAGCTCAGGCCGGGTTACAGCTCACAGTACGCACGCGCACGCACACACACACATACATACACCACACACAGAGGAGGGAGGGGGAGAGAGAGAGAGGACAATATGTTGCAGCCTCAGCTGCTCATGAGTATTCTGTCTGCAAACTACTGCAGCTCTTCCTCAGCAGCAACCAAGAAAAACTCCTCTCCCTCTCCCACACCATTTACTCCATGTCAGCAAATGTGACCTCCCTCTGATGGAAAGATGATTAGCCGGCTGCAAAATACGGAGGAGGGCATCAGAGAGATGTTTAAAAATAAATACATTTTCAAAAGAAATAAGAGGATGAAGTTCGAGGAAGATGAAGGCACGGTGCTGCCTGTTGGCAGCTTAATCACCGGCCATACATCTTAGTGCACGCATGCAGCAATGATCTCATTGGCTGGGCCCAGAAGCACTACACTGTGTCAAACCGACTCAGCTCCCCCACCTTTAAATACATGGGAGATATATTGTCAGATGGGCACCAATTTCATCACATAAGCTCATCTAGATGCCGCTCAGGTCACAGCCGTGAACCCCCCCCCCCCCCCCCCAACAAGACATGTTGACATGTCACAGCGAGAAAAAGCACAGGTGGAAGTAATAACACAGATGATGGCTGAATTCCTGCTTTTATTCACGCTGGCTCAGTGTCACGCTGCCACGGCTTACTGTGACACTTGAATAGCACAGAGCCATTGTTAATGTCATCAGTAACACCTGTGCTTTTCCTCCGGCCACATGTCAAAATGTCTGCTGTGGGGGGCTTCTAATGTTTCCCTGAGGAGTAATTCATCTTAAGTGGTTTAATTAGCATTAGGGGCTATTAAAGGATCAATCAGCCCTTTCTTTGAATAATGTATAGCGTTTTCTTTTTCGGAGCGTTAGGCTAACATCTCCTATTACAGACCGCTTTAGTAATGCATTGTAATGCATTGTACTGATGTATTTCTAATATGTTGTTGACACCTCTCCAGAACAGAATCAATAAGTGAACATAACCTTCATGAAGTAAAATTGATTGCATTGCTGTGTATTATACTGCATTCATTCAGCCAGGGGAACCGCATAAACTAGTAACTGCTCGTACATCTTTTCAGGAAAACCAAATATGTCATTAATCGACAGTAGATTGCAGAGTGGAGTTGGTCATTGGCTAAGCTTTGTATTCACTGGTACAGATACTTTAGCTCATCCTCCAGCACCACAGGTCACACCAGGACACATCCTCCAGGTCTGGCTGCTTTGTTTACGGACAGATTTCATTAAAAAAATAAAAGAGGACTATCGTGATACAACCCCCACAATATGTGCCCTGTGCACCGTTTCACATCCACAGCCTTTCACCCGGGGAGCTGTAACTCATCACACCAGCTCTTTCCATCTCCCTGTAATTGTTCAATCAATCCAGAAAAAAAACCACACACAAAATGAACTGCCCTGCACATGCAGAGCTCATTTGGCTCCCAGCGTAATGAGAGCCGTTGGGTGACAAAAAAAGAAAAAGCACAATCAAATGTGCTAGGTTACTGCACCCACCAGACTTGAGAGCCGAGCCAATACACGACAAGAAGTTTAATGGTGTTTTTCTTTTTGGAGCAACAGTCTACAGTGATGCATGATGGGGGGAAAAACAGAGCTGGAAAAGAGCACTCGGAGCAATGAGGGTGTCGAAACTGCTCAGAGGGAAATTGGTGAGGTGGGTGAAGAAATGAAAGGTGACTGTGATGAACGGCGTCGGTGTTAAATAAAAAAGTCCGACGCACACGGACGGTGAAACGTGTGCGCTGACTAGTTCATTTCTTAACTCTATTTGGGGACGCTATTTGGGCTGCAATAAAGATACATGAACTATTACACACGCTTATTTTAAAGCATAAAAGCAGGCATTCCTTACAGTGTTTGTGAATACATCCGCTTACATTTTATTACCCTCCATTAAAAAAAAAACAAATCATTCCACCCCCACCAACACAGAAATGAACAACTAACAGACACCGCAGAGGCCTCCCCTCTCCTGTCTCACCGAGCCATTACGATCGGCAAAGACGGCAGACACTCAGCGGCACAAAATGAATCCTCAGAGAGCCATTACACACGATCAGCCAATTCGACAATTTCCATTAGACTAACGCTGGGGAGCTACTGGAGGAACCCCGGGTACACGGCGCAGCCTTCACAGACGAGCGTGAGAGAAAACAGGACAGAGGGGGTGAAAGAGTCACTGCATGCAGGAAAACATCATGTGGAGGGCTGCTCTGCTGCTTCCAGATACACTGTGTCACTGTGGAGCGTTCTCCTCCTCTTCCTCCTCAGAATCTTCCTGTTGGCTTTTCTTCTGTTGAGAGAGGAGACAGAACAGGAGAGGAGATTAAACTTCCAGGTTATACTTGAGTGTAGTACATTCACACAAGGGGAAAAAAAAGACTGAATTTAGATCCTATAACCAACCCGTTTGTTAGTCATTTTACGCTCTACAATATCTGTGCATGGCAACAGCAGTCGGGTTTAAGTCAGAGGATGAAAAAAAAAGTAATCATGGACGTGATTGCATTTGTTACATTGATCTTACATTTACATCGAACTTATATACTATATACAATGGGTACGGAAAGTATTCAGACCCCTTTAAATTTTTCACTGTTTCATTGCAGCCATTTGCTAAAATCAAAAAAGTTCATTTTATTTCTCATTAATGTACACTCAGCACCCAATCTTGACAGAAAAAAATCAGAAATGTAGAAATTTTTGCAAATTTATTAAAAAAGAAAAACTGAAATATCACATGGTCATAAGTATTCGGACCCTTTGCTCAGCATTGAGTATATATTGGCCGCATTCATCTTTCCTTCAATTGCAACCAGTCGTCCTGTCCCTGCAGCTGAAAAACACCCCCATAGCATGATGCTGCCACCACCATCATGTTTCACTGTTGGGATTGTATTGGGCAGGTGATGAGCAGTGCCTGGTTTTCTCCACACATACCGCTTAGAATTAACGGCAAAAAGTTCAATCTTGGTCTCATCAGACCAGAGAATCTTATTTCTCATAGTCTGGGAGTCCTTCATGTGTTTTTTGGCAAACTCTATGCGGGCTTTCATACGTCTTGCACTGAGGAGAGGCTTCCGTCGGGCCACTCTGCCATAAAGCCCCGACTGGTGGAGGGCTGCAGTGATAGTTGACTTTGTGGAACTTTCTCCCATCTCCCTACTGCATCTCTGGAGCTCAGCCACAGTGATCTTTGGGTTCTTCTTTACCTCTCTCACCAAGGCTCTTCTTCCACGATTGCTCAGTTTGGCTGGACGGCCAGGTCTAGGAAGAGTTCTGGTCGTCCCAAACTTCTTCCATTTAAGGATTATGGAGGCCACTGTGCTCTTAGGAACCTTGAGTGCTGCAGAAATTCTTTTGTAACCTTGGCCAGATCTGTGCCTTGCCACAATTCTGTCTCTGAGCTCCTTGGGTAGTTCCTTCGACCTCATGATTCTCATTTGCTCTGACATGCACTGTGAGCTGTAAGGTCTTATATAGACAGGTGTGTGCCTTTCCTAATCAAGTCCAATCAGTTTAATTAAACACAGCTGGACTCCAATGAAGGAGTAGAACCATCTCGAGGAGGATCAGAAGAAATGGACAGCATGTGAGTTAAATATGAGTGTCACAGCAAAGGGTCTGAATACTTATGACCATGTGATATTTCAGTTTTTCTTTTTTAATAAATTTGCACAAATTTCTACATTTGTTTTTTTCTGTCAAGATGGGGTGCTGAGTGTACATTAATGAGAAATAAAATGAACTTTTTTGATTTTAGCAAATGGCTGCAATGAAACAAAGAGTGAAAAATTTAAAGGGGTCTGAATACTTTCCGTACCCACTGTATATACAGTTGTGTGAAAAAGTGTTTGCCCCCTTCCTGATTTCTTATTTTTTTGCATGTTTGTCACACTTAAATGTTTGAGATCATCAAACAAATTTAAATATTAGACAAAGATAACACAAGTAAACACAAAATGCAGTTTTTAAATGAAGGTTTTTATTATTAAGGGGGAAAAAAATCCAAACCTACATGGCCCTGTGTGAAAAAGTGATTGCCCTCCCCCCCTGTTAAAACATAAATTAACTGTGGTTTATCACATCTTTGGAAAGCTGAGTTCAATTTCTCTAGCCACACCCGGGCCTGATTACTGCCACACCTGTTCTCAATCAAGAAATCACTTAAATAGGACCTGCCTGACAAAGTGAGGTTGACCAAAAGATCCTCAAAAGCTAGACATCATGCTGCGATCCAAAGAAATTCAGGAACAAATGAGAAACAAAGTAATTGAGATCTATCAGTCTGGAAAAGGTTACAAAGCCATTTCTAAAGCTTTGGGACTCCAGCGAACCACAGTGAGAGCCATTATCCACAAATGGCAAAAACATGGAACAGTGGTGAACCTTCCCAGGAGTGGCCGGCCGACCAAAATTACCCCAAGAGGGCAGCGATGACTCATCCAAGAGGTCACAAAAGACCCCAGAACAACATCCAAAGAACTGTAGGCCTCACTTGCCTCAATTAAGGTCAGTGTTCATGACTTCACCATAAGAAAGAGACTGGGCAAAAATGGCCTGCATGGCAGAGTTCCAAGACGAAAACCACTGCTGAGCAAAAAGAACATAAAGGCTCGTCTCAGTTTTGCCAGAAAACATCTTGATGATACCCAAGACTTTTGGGAAAATACTCTGTGGACTGACGAGACAAAAGTTGAACTTTTTGGAAGGTGTATGTCCCATTACATCTGGCATAAAAGTAACACGGCATTTCAGAAAAGGAACATCATACCAACAGTAAAATATGGTGGTGGTAGTGTGATGGTCTGGGGCTGTTTTGCTGCTTCAGGACCTGGAAGACTTGCTGTGGTAAATGGAACCATGAATTCTGCTGTCTACCAAAAAATCCTGAAGGAGAATGTCCGGTCATTTGTTCGTGACCTCAAGCTGAAGCGCACTTGGGTTCTGCAGCAGGACAATGATCCAAAACACACCAGCAAGTCCACCTCTGAATGGCTTAAGAAAAACAAAATGAAGACTTTGGAGTGGCCTAGTCAAAGTCCCGACCTGGATCCGATTGAGATGCTGTGGCATGACCTTTAAAAAGGCGGTTCATGCTCGAAAACCCTCCAATGTGGCTGAATTACAACAATTCTGCAAAGATGAGTGGGCCAAAATTCCTCTACAGCGCTGTAAAAGACTCATTGCCAGTTATCGCAAACGCTTGATTGCAGTTGTTGCTGCTAAGGGTGGCCCAACCAGTTATTAGGTTTAGGGGGCAAACACTTTTTCACATAACTGTATATAACTTTATAGGTCTTTGTTTTTTAGAAATTATGTATGACTGACCTTTTTTTAAATTAACTGTTTTTAAAATCTCATGTACCCCCTGCAGTAAACAAAAGTACCCCTATTTGAAAAACACTGGTTTAAAGTTGAGATAATAAAATGTGTTCACATCCCTGATCATGTTGTACATCTATTTATAAATATATGCAAAAAAAAGAAAACAAATTTCTTCAAATGTCAAAAGCCAATCATCTTTTCTTCCTGTAAAACTAAATATGATGCGTGCGCACGTAAGCTAGTACCAAACAATATTAGCGCTACATTCTAAGCCCGCCCACTTTTACGCAATCCAATGCGAAGGATGTAATTTAAATCCCTCCGCTTAAATATTCTGTTTGACTGGGGAATACGTCACACAGCACAGAAGATGAGGACGCCGCAACTTCCCTTTCACTGAGGCATTAAATTATAGTCCTGCAGATTTTAGTTCTGGTTGACAACAGCTGTAGTCACCACTGAGAATGAATGAATATCCATGACACAACCTGCGTTGTTTGCAGCTATACTTGTAAGGACGCAGTTATACTTCCTCCTCAGAATGCCGGGGAGTTCTGGCTTACGTCATGATGTAAGTAATGAACAGTGCATAACTTCCATGTCTTGTGTACATGTCGTGTCCCGTGAATACCGTTTGAAACCAGCGTAGGAATGGCGGACCCTGCCACTGCTGATGCAAACTACCAAATAGAGAGGTAACTAATGGGTGTAAATCAATGTAATCCCTATAGCAGTTTACTACAGTAGTTTACATCTGTCTGTCCAAAATGTCATCATTTCGTCATTTTATCCTATTTGACGTTTTTTGTGAAATTATTATAAGTAGCATATGAATTCTTGAGTTACGGACAAAAACGTGTTTTGCGAAGTAACGGTGACTTTTGACCTTTCACCAAATTCGAATCAGTCCAACCTTGAGTTAAGGTCGACGTTTGTGCCAAATTTGAAGAAATTCTCTCCTGGTGCTTCTGAGACAGAATCTAATATTAATAATAATTTACGAAGTGATCATCATGCTGTGTTGAAGAAGACTTGAAACTAGCATCTGGGACCATAAACGCATGTTTACAATGTTTGCTGAGGTAATAAATCATAAGTAATAACGGGGGGTTTCTCATATTCTTGCATATAATCAGTATTCTTTTGGCAACCAGAGGAGTCGCCCCCTTGCCTATTGAAATGTACAAACTGTGTGCTATGTTTGTTTAGTTTTGTTTTGTTCGAAGGAATGCAGGATTTACGACTTCTGCGTCAGCTTCACTCGTCAGAACCGAAAGGATGCCGCCTGGTTCTGGAGCAACATCTTACCAGTTTGAGGAAGTCGATGAGTTTGTAAGCGTCTTCTCCAGCGGAGAGGTCGACAAAGTCCCGTGGGATTCGGTAGCTCAGACAGGGACTGGGCTGCACCGTCACCTCGCTGGTGGTGCAGCGGAACGCAGGGCCTTCCTGCACGCACGGAGAAACCACACAGTTGCCACAAAACGGTTCTCAGTATCGATTGACATCTTTTTTTTGTATTTATCTATAGAATGCGTGCGTCATGACGGCTGACCTGCTGCTGGGCGATTTCCCCACCAGACGTCAGCTCCTCCCAGCTGAACAGCAGCGAGTCCGTCACCTCTCCGAATGGGTTCACGTCAATCAGCCACACCCTCCCCTGCAACACACACGCACACGCACACGCACAAAAGTCACTCAGTCTGCAAGCAGCATTTAAAAAAAAAAATGTACAATATCCAAACCCATCAGTGTGCTTACCTGGCTGTCTCTGTAGACATCAAGCACAACTGTAAAACGGACAAAAGCAACAGTGCAGTCATTTAACATTCACATTATATATATATATATAAAGTTAAATTATTTATTCATCCTGGAAAATAAAAATAAAAAAGAGAAAAATAAAAAGCACGGCGATGCTCACAGTCCTCGTCCAAGAAGTTGTACTGGATGTGCTGGCTGAAGAACTGCTCTATGGCGTGAAGGATCTGCTCCTCCTGCTTCAGGACGTGCTGGTAGTGCTGCGTGTAGTCTCTCTGGGAGATGGCTGTGAACAGACGGACGCACCGTTAATCGTTTCTAAAGCAGCCGGCCGAGTGCAGCTCAAACATCATTTCATCACCGATATACAACGGAGAGGTTTTTCAAACCAATTCCAATGTGGGACGTATTCTGCAAAGCAATCCAGCATGTTTCCCTCCTCATCCAACTTAGTGGCCCATTATACAAACGATACAATGGAGATGTGACGATGGTCCCTTCCGTTAAAAACAGTGAAGAACTCAGATATTTTCAATAGTAAAATCACTGCATTTAAAATGTTACTCAAGCAAAAGCACAAATGCATTAGCATCAAAATGTACTTAAAGAAAAAGCACTCATTATACAAAACGGCCCATTTATATCATAAACGGTGGAGCATTAATGTATCTTTTCTTCCAAACTGTAGCGGATAGAGGTGCAAAGCAGCATAAATACCAGAGTAAAGTTAAGACAAGCGCCTCAACAGTGGCCGGTACTTCAGTAGATGTACTTCCCCCATTGGTTAACAACAATCACTGCTTTCTTTACACCAATATGTTGAGGATTTTTCCAAATGTTTGGGCACAAAGCCCGAACGGAGAGGGACAGCAGAGGGTTATTACCGATCAGTTTGCTTTCTTTGACGAAGCAGCGAAACTCTCCGCCAGGAATCAACTCGCTCCACTTTCTCAGGACCAGCTGGGGGGACAGAGGACAACATGGAGGAGGGGCTCAAAGTACCATTCAATTTGACAATTTGATCAGCAAAGTAAGTACTGAATTTCCTTCTGAGCAAAAAGAACTCTGGGAGAATACAACTGTATTAAACAAGCTAAGAAAAGTAGTATTTAGTTTAAAGAATACCTCATAGTTTAGGACCGGATCTGGGGAGTCCTGGTCACTGCATGCGAGGAATCTGCAGAAGGAAATGAATGACAGATACAAACTGTATGCATGTTCTGTAGCATCACATGGGTTTGGGGTTTATGATCTCTATTTACAGCTTGGCTGCTGTGTCTTTGCGAGAGA